GGGGGGGGGGGGATGAAGGCTCCGCATTTGTACAAAATCTAGAGACCCTTTCCGCGTCCGGCGTCAGCACACATTGATACACAACTAGCATGCGGGTGGAGGAAGAGAGGACCTACCTTTATGATAGGTAGGACAGGAAGAAATTGTGGTGCATAAGTAACACTTTTGGGGTTTTGGCAGGTGGAGGACAGGGAGCAGCACCGACGGAGACGAGGATCTGGGCTCCTAGCGGCGACTTCGAGTCTACGAAGAAGATTTCAGCTCCCAGCAGTAACTTCAGCAACCTGAGGAGGGTTTTGGACTCTGGCCTGGTGTAACGATATCAATGAAAATAAATGTATTGTGCACTTTACAAGAACCTGTTAAAAACTATGCATCATTTATGGGTACCAACGAATGATTTCCCTTTCTTAGATAACATTTTTTAACATTTATTTTGAATGGTTAAATTTCTAATCTTTTATTTCATTCTGAATCATACATTTAATTTCAAATGTTTTCTGAGATTAGGGAAATCATTTTTGTGTTCCTAAAAATACCTATCTCTTTCTGAAGATCATTCTCGATCGTAACGTCTTCATGCGACGTTATTTTTACGACAGAGATACTCACCTACCATTGCTACGTGCTCGAAACGCCTAAAAACACGTTGAAGCAACGTGATTCGGCAACATTACACAACGGTCATCCGTGAAGTAAAATCACGGAGGGCTGGCTGCTGTCCTACACCCGTATATGTACGGTGGTACAATGTACTTACACATCATTATGGCGACGTGGACACATGGGTAGTAAACACGAGGTGTACTAAAGTTGCGGCGTGCTTCACACATACGTCGCACTATCGAGACGGAGCCCGTGGGCATCGCGTAATGTGGCAACGTTACGGCGACGTACATGCGCATATTTGTGCGAGGTGCATTCGCCACGTTCTGCCTGCCTGCCTGAGTGTGTCGCAGTGCCGATCATGTGTGTGTGGGCATCGCGTAATGTGGCAACGTTACGGCGACGTACATGCGCATATTTGTGCGAGGTGC